GAGTCTCCAGTGAACTGAATTCACAAGTAAGAACCGGGAGATCTTGTGAGCGCGCGCGTGTCCTATGCTGCTAAAAGTAAGTAACTAATGTCGAATTTAGGGATTAATTATTGTAACTGAAAATCATATTTAGGTCAAAACTGTCAGTTGTTTGTGAACTAAATCTGCTGTAAAGGGTGATCTATTTAAGCCCACTGAAATTATTGAATGCAGACACATCAACATCTGTGTCTCTATTTTAGGTTTAAAAAAAAAAAAAACTAAACATTAAAATAACTAAATAAAATAATTAATGCGCGTTCATATTCCCCGCTGCCGTAAAGTTAACAGTTTTATTAAAGCCCTATGTGACGTCTGTTTTTATATTGTTTATCAACAGTATAAATTTTTATATTGTTTGGATTAACTAGCCGAGTAGACAGATATGAATGTTTATTCATCATAACCATACTGAAAATAAGTAAATATTGTTAGCTGATGCTAACTGTCTAGCTAACAAGCTTGCTGGTGCTAAGTTGAGGTAATTTTTAGATATAAAGTCCAAATATTTTTATTCAACCACCTAGATAGATTACATCTGAGGAAAAAGAAAGGATGTGATGTTCAAAACATGGTAACTACATTAAATATCAAAGTGGGAAGTGATGCCCTCTGGGAAATAGTATATCAGTCTGGCGAGTAAACAAAAAAATTTACTAGCCAATGGCGATTATATTGCCAAGGTGTGCGTAGAGGGTTGCCACTGAAATGCTTGAATGCAGACACATTAACATCAGAATCTAACATTAACATAATCTAACATTAACATCATTAAAATAACACAGATTAAATAAACTAACTCATGCACGTTCATCTTCCCCGCTGCTGTAAAGTTAGCAGTTTTACTAAAATGTGCTACGCATTTAGCCCTGTGACGTCTGTTTTTATATTGTTTATCAACAGTATACATTTTTATATTGTTTGTATTAACTAGCTGAGTAGACAGATATGAATGATTATTCATAACCATACTGAAAATAAGTAAATATTGTTAGCTGATGCTAACTGTCTAGCTAACAAGCTTGCTGGTGCTAAGTTGAGGTCATTTTTAGATATAAAGTCCAAATATTTTTATTCAACCACCTAGATAGATTACATCTGGGGGAAAAGAAAGGATGTGATGTTCAGAACATGGTAACTACAGTAATTATCAAAGTGGGAAGTGATGCCCTCTGGGGGCATTTGGCCAGGGGTGTTTTTACACCACAGACCAGGTTTGAGAAGAAAAAAAATCATTATGAAAATATAATTATATTTTCCTTAAAATGTTCTTCCTAACTTCAGGCCTTATTCTCATGTCATATATAACGGTGATGTTCTGCAAAACAACAAGCTTTCAAACACTTTTTTTCTTACTGGTGAAAATCAGATGGTCAGATCTGTTTTTTCTCAGGTACATCGCAGTGTAAGTTTCATAGTAAACATTACTACATCACTCTCGTCAATGTAAACTTTTGTACTTTCAATCGAGTAAAATTGAAAAAGGAGTACTTTTACTGGAGTAATATTTTATTATACGTATCTGTACTTTTACTCAAGTACTTGATTTGTGTACTTCGTCCACCACTGGTAATTATACATATAAGTACGGAGTAATGTTAAAGGGTTAGTTCACCCAAAAATCGTTCATCTTCGGAACACAAATTAAGATATTTTGATGGAATCTGAGAGCTGTCTGACCCTGCATAGACAGCAACGCAACTGAAATGTTCCCAAGTCCAGAAACGTAGCAAGGAGACCTGTAAAATAATCCATGTGACATCAGTGGTTCAGCTGCGTCACACGGATACGTTTTCTACGTTGTTTATGCTTTGATTTCGTTCAAATCAAAGCATAAACAACGTAGAAAACATATCCGTGAGGTGCGGCTGACACAGAACAACATACGCTGTTTGCGTTCAGTGGATATTCTCCAAAATGGCACCAGGGTGATGCGGAGGAGAGGAATTGTTGAATAAAGTCGTTTTTTTTTCTTTTGCGCACAAAAAGTATTCTCTTAACATCGTAATATTACGGTTGAACCCCTGATGCCACATGGATTATTTTACCGATCTCCTAGCTACGTTTCTGGATGTCGTTCGTGGTAGTACCCTTGCTGTCTATGGGAGGGTCAGAGAGCTCTCAGATTCCATCAAAAATATCTTAATTTGTGTTCCGAAGATGAACGAAGGTCTTACGGGTTTGGAACGACATGAGGGTGAGTAATTAATGACATAATTTTAATTTTTGGGTGAACTATCCCTTTAATTAACTACATGTACTTACTATATGGTTAGGGTTACTTGCATGTAATTATGCATAATTAATTGTTATTATAATAGTAAGTACATGTAACATGTGTAACAATGACCCCTTAAAATAAAGTGTTACCTAAGAAATATTTCTTGAACACAAATTAGCATATCAGAATGATTTCTGAAGGATCATGTGACACTGAAGACTGGAGTAATGACTGCTGAAAATTCAGCTTTGCATCACAGGAATAAATTATATTTTAAAATATATTCAAATAGAAATAGTTATTGTAATAATATTTCACAATAGTACAGTTTTTACTGTATTTTTCGATCAAATAAATACAGCCTTTGTGAGAATGAGAAACGTCTTTCAAAAATGTAAAAAAACTCTTACAGACCCAAAACTTTTGAACAGCAGTTTATATTAAGCTCATACCCATTTGGTCAGCTACAGCGGTTTTATACTGTTTTGTTTTTTTTGCTCGTTTGTTTGTTTTGTTTTTTGCACAGATTATTATTATTTATGTATTCTACATTATATTTGTTTCTGGCTAGTTTTTTTTATTTTTATAGACAAACTGCCTATTTGAACTTTCACGTCACGAACATAATCTATCCAGTATAATTAAAATATTTCAAATGATCCAGATCTCTTAATTTTGGATTATACAATTTATCAGGGTTCCTACCCATTTTCCATTTTAAAATTCCATATTTTTCCAGACTCAAATTTCCAAACCTCAGTAGATTTTCAGACCATATTTAACAAATGCTTAATAGGGCATTATTTTCAGCTTTTGGTATATAGTACAGTTATCTGTAAATATTTTTATTTTCTCAGGGTTTTTTTTTTTTAATTGATTTTCTCGAAGTGACAACCTACAGAGTCCCTAAAATCATCATAATAATAATAATAATAAAAATATAGACTTTTACATGCACACCAGAAACTTTTTTCTTGTGTGCATGCCCTTGAGAAACTATTCACATGCACATGGGAATTTTTTTGCACGCTTATGCATTACAATTTCTAGTTTTATATAACCTATTTCCTTTGTGCATCACTATGAATAAAGTGAGAGCATGGATGCACATGAATTGAAATGAACAGAGATCTACTTGCTCAAAATTTGGCTTTCCTTATTTTATTACCTCTAATATCAAGGCATAATGTCCAATTTAACACATTCTCTGTGACAGCACAGAAACCATGACACAAAATGGGCTGATGACAAAATTTGCCAAGTTCAAGGGTCTATACAAAAAGACTGGTACTGTAAAAATGTTTAAAATTTGGCCTTCATTAGGGCAGTATGCAATATTTCAAGGCCTTAGGTACGCCAACTTTGTGGTGGCCAACACACCACACCGCGAAATGGGTTGATGGCACAACAGGTAGCTCAGTGTGCATATGCCAAGTTTAATGGTTTCTCGTACACACATTAAAGTCTGTATATTTTTTATTTTTGCAAAGATCCTTGAGGCTATGTAATACAGTGCTAAGAATTGTGAGAAGAAACCCAAAATGCTTATAACCTGCATTTGCATAGGCTAATCAAAAAATGCATATTTGACAATCACTAAAGAATCACTAAACAGCTGCCATGAAATCTCACTTCTCGTACAATAAATTTATTTTCATTAAATTCTTAATTTTCTATTAGAAAAAAAAAGTAAATAGGGGCAAAAGTCTGGAAACACAAATATTTTTCCATACTCTGCTTTCTTTTTTCCATACATTTTCAGACCTGGAAAATACTTAAATCAAATTCCATACTTTTCCAAACTCCGTAGGAACCCTGATTTACATAATAATAATTTATATAATTATTTAATATAATAGTACATATAACATAAAAACACATGCTGAAAAGAGTGAGAATGACTGGCATTGGACATAACATGAGTGCACACAGTGTAATGGGACTAGTCAAGTTTCAGAGTGTGAAGACTTGATCCCGGACCAGCGTAAAAGCCAGCGAGTTATCAGAGCAGGTGGGATGTAGAGTGACTCAGTATGAGGAACAGAAGGTGGCTGCTGGTGAAGGTCTTGGCATACAAGCGCCACTGCTGGCTAGAGCTGGAAATCAAGTTCATTACAGTCATGCGCTTCCAAGGCCTCTCTCTCACAGCTGGGTTGCCACGCGATGCCAATTGCAAGCTGACAGCTTCAATTTCATGCAACAAGATGGACAATTATAATGAATGGAACCCTGGTACGTCTGCACAGTCACGCTCTACGAATTCACCAAGTCAGAACCAGCAACAAAGATGGAAAATCGTCCAGAAATGTCAGAATCACACGTACTCATGTATCCAAGCATGCATGTGAATAAACTTAAAATTCTAACACATTCATTAATCCTTTGAGCTTTTAATAATCTTTTTTTTCCCTTTCAGCACAATATTAATTCAGCCCATATAAAAAAATAAATAAAATAAAAAAGCACATTTCACTCTCCTTCTGTGTGTCTTTAGCCTCTGGGATGAAAAAGATAACAACAAACCACTTCCCTCCTCTCAAGGCACACTTCTATCTGAGCTTTTTACTAAAATGAGGAAGGATGCGTTTCAGATACAAGCCCACTGAGAATCTTAATAAAATATATATTATATACATAAAAAAAAAATATCAACATATATTCAATAAAATCAGCGAGATACACTGACTGACTGATTTGTACTTTTCAACCCATTCTTTTTCAGAGACAGAGAGACACTCACTCTGTGATCTCCTCAGTAACCGTGTGCTCCACCTGCAGACGGGAGTTGACCTCGATGAAGTAATGTTTACCGTGTTTATCCACCAGGAACTCCACTGTGCCTGCATTCTCATAACCGACCTGAGGAAAGAGATGGAACGGATTGAGCTATGAGAATTACAAACTTTTCAGAGTTTCACAGGCACAATTTACATCCTAATGAAAAATAAAAATTTAAAATACTATGAAATTAAAAAAAAAAAAGTTTTTATTTAGCACACGGTGTGATGCCCTAGTGTCACAGCAGATGTACTGTACATGTGTATTGTATGTATGCAGATAAAGTTGGACATAAGCATATATATATATATATATATATAAACTAAATAATATACATGCCATTTTGTTTTTGCCACCTTATTACCAAACTCAGGTACATGACTGAATACAGTTTGAAAGATCTGCATCATTTTGTTGATTACAAGTAATAAACATTAAATATAAAAAAATATTGTTTAGTTCCCACTGACATGTTTAGTTCCCATTAACAAAATAAATATTTGTTTGTCATACAATAACTTCAGTAACAGGGTTGAACGATTGAGCTCGACAGATGGATTTAAAAGATACAGTACACATCTTCACAAAAAACTACTTCCATACTGATTTTTGTTCATAGATAATAGTTTATCTAACAATTCTCTCTCCAAAGGAAACTGGATGTCTTTAATGGGACACTAAATGTATGTAATGGGACACTAAGTGTATGTTATTCATAAAAACTGAAACCATAAATAATGTTTGTTTAATTTTTTAATGACAGTTGTGGCTAATACCAAGTTACCACATTTTTCTTGCAGCAATAATAGTAACTATGGTATATTTTGTGGAAATTATAGTACATTGTGGTAAGGAAGGATTATTGGAAAGGCATCAAGACAGCAGGTTGCCTCTTACTAGGCCACATCTTGACACACACACCACATAAAGCCCAACAGGGGTTCCACAATCCCATCCTCAAATTTCGCAGAAGTGCAATCCAATTTGTCCTTAGGCCTGTCGCCGCTGCCAAATTTCCTAACGCAACACATTTTGGATACACACCGCCTCTCACACACACAGCCGTGTAGTGTTTGGAGAGTAAAGCATCCTTGATAAATGGCTGCCAACACGCACTGAGATCAAACAACCAACCCTTCACATTCCTGGCTGATATTCATACTCACACCCGTTCGAAAATCTCGCAAGCCCTGCGAGACCACAAGAGGACATGAAGACTGTACACTTAAGATTTGAGAACATCCATCATTCATCCAGCACTTTCTCACACATGCACTGAAATACAGTGAGCAGATTAGAATTATTAGACCATAGCAATGAAAGAGATGAAACGAAACAAGACGGCGCATAGTGCCCATGAGAAGAAAGGCACAGACAGGTAATTAAATGGGTAAAATGAAAGGAGGAAAGGATGGAGAGCAAGAGAGGAGGACAGATGGCATTCCACCGAGAGGACTAAAGAGGGTGAGGAAGAAGGAGGGAGAGAGATGAGTGATTATGAGTCTCACAGCTTGATACAATTTCTAATTACTTCACAACATCCAAAGCATAAACAGGGTCTGCCGACAGTCTACGACAAAAGAGGTCAAAGAGGGAGGGTTTTTGGGTTGGTTTTCATCTAAGATTCAATATATGGAATTATGACTGACAGAAGGAGAGAGAAACAGAGGAGGAGCCTGAAAGCAGAGCTGTGACCACCATTCAAGGAGAATCGTCTCAATAAATTCAAATTAGTGGTCAATTATTATGAGTTTATGAATAGCAGGGTGTAAGGTATAATTCATCTAAAACTGACATTTTTTTCATCCCAATGGGACAATCAGATATAATTTCTATGAAGTTTCCAATAAAATTCTATTACAAGCCCACTGAGAATCTTACAGGTTTCAAAGGGTCTAAGATGATGATGTCTTGCACTTATTATCATGTTTTTTTCGACACTGACATTTTAACAGCCGGAGTACAATACAAATTTTGAGTGTTAATTAGTGTTATGGGGCTGCTGAACATCGCCCAACAGTTATGCAAGTTTAATTGCATTTGGCCACACAAAGTGTCTTCATAAATGTCAACGAATATTTAGCCGAGTCATTATTTTGCGAAAAAAAAGCATATCTTCTCAGAATCTAAATGTCAGACAGTCAGGTGGTCAAAAACGGAGACATATTTTAAGATCAGTCAGTGCAAGTTTCTTTCAGTTAAAACAGCCCAGACATGCATTTTAGTCTGGGACTAGGCTTAAGCCTTGTCTATGAAACCGAAGGTATATTTTCCTTACACCTTTAAATACATGTGTGCACAATCTTAATCCCTATTTACAAAAAAAAAATGGTAAAACATTTTTAAAGATAAAGTGTTTCTTACAAATATCGTACATTATTTATAAATGCCACGGAGGCAGTCTAACATGTGACATTTTACTATATAATTTTTTTTTATTGTGACAGTAAGGACATTTATAATGTTACACAAGATTCATATTTCAAATAAAAGCTGTTCTTTCTATTTATCAAAGAATCCTGTAAATAAATTATAATGGTTTCCACAAAAAAACTAATAATAGAAAAATCTGCTGTGTCATCACAGGAATAAATTACATTTTAAAGTATATTAAAACAGGAAACAGTTACTTTAAATGGTTATATTATTTCACAATATTATTTTTTTACTGTTTGATCAAATATTGTCCCAAGTAATGTTGATTACATTTACTTTTTCATTTTTATTTTATACATATGCATATACACACACATCATATAAAAACCCAAATGTCATTCTAGCCCCATATTATTTTTTCATCATGAAACATGAATAGAGGCAGAACTTCTCTCAGACAAGGAAAGCGGATTGTGATTTTATACTGCCAAGCTCCATAAAGGACAAAAAAGCAGCATTAAAATGTCATAAAAGCAGCGCTTACCATTTGTGTGGCTACATTGAAGTCTTCTGAAGTCATTTGATAGCTTTGTGTGAGGAACGGTCTGAAAAATGTGTCCGTGTTTACTAATAATGTCTCCCCTGGTATAGCCATCAAACTCTCACTTTTGTCCATTTATTCATAGTTTGTCACATGACAAGAGAAAACCTGTGGCATTTCACACCAATGGCATCAAACTTGGTGCAAACATTTTTTTAGAGGTGTAAAAGGGGAAGACTCTCAGAAGATAATGGATTTTCAGTCTGTTTCTCATTCAAAGACATATGACTTCATAAGCCTCAGAATATGGGTTGTATGAGTCACATGGACTACTTTAATAGCTCTTTTTTGAGTTTCACAGTCTAAATCACTTTTCATATCATCATAGTGTCAAATCTATTTTCCTTGTATTCAAAACAGAAGCCCTGACATGCATCTTAAAATCACTCCTGCTCTTGTGTTTTACATAAAAACGAAAATATGGGATTGGTATGAAAATTGACAAAATTTGCAATTTTATGTAAACTATTCCAGAGAATCCTAAACGGACAGTGACCTCTGGATGCTCTAAAGAACTCACCGCGTCATTGAGATGGAGCATTCGAGAGGATTTTTATGCTTTGTACGGACTGTCTTTATCGTCACAAAAGGTTGATTTGCTCATAGTTGCTATTTATTTTAACTATTTCTTTTTTTTTTTTTTTTTTTCACCATCCAATTTTGTTGTACCAAAAAGAGCAGCTCAGAAATTCTGCCTAACACTTTGAATAATATGAAGGATGAGAGGATGTGTAAATGATATTCGGGTGAACTATTCCTTTACACTTGTAGATTCGGTTACATCCTTGCATGAAAGAGACAGAGACAGTAGTAAGAGTGAGAAAACTGATTCTGACAAGCAGAGGAGACAGAAGAACGACATGCAATCACTGAAGTTAAACAGCGTTATGTAAATACCATCATCTTTTACTGATGATTAGCAGTGAAGATGCTTTCGGTTCACAATCAACCTCAGCGTGCCTAAAACACATGCAAACGGGGTTTATAACAGTGAGTGTTGAGTGTGACTGAAACCACATCAAGGCTGTGATCCCCAACCTGTGCTTCAGGCAATGTGGGTAGAGCAACTGTCTCCATGGCAACAGCTGACAAAACAAAAAAGGCATTAAAACAGGGGAGATGTTTCTGTCATGTTAATACCATTTAATTCCGCATTAAATGTCTAACCAGCACATAAAAAAGCTGCTACAGTGACCACAACATTAAGCGGCCCCCCAAGAAGAACAAGGTCAATGAAATGTGTGTAACATAATTGGTGGGGAGAGTCTTCTCACATATTCCTTCCTCCATGACAACACGGTTATCCGTTTAACAGGGCTCCGACAAAAAGGACAACTTACAAGGCTGCCCATAATGGGGTACACACAGAGAAGTGAATGACAAAATAAAAAAAACTATTGAGAGGAATCTGTGCCGGCAAACATGCTTCAAGCCCTCGAAGAACAGAAAGGAACAAAAAGACAGACAGACATCCAGCACAGGAGAAGAAGAAAAAAATGGAGCATGAAATGGCGATAGCTCTGAAGGTCAGAGAGAACACTGCCACATCCTCTTTTTATTAGTAAGGACATGGATGAGATATCTCTTAAATCTGTAGCACGTAGTTGAGTCACCCTATAAACAGAAGTTTTGTTTTTCAACTTCTTGTTTTAGCTAGGGATAGGGTTAATTGTATATTACAATGGAAATAAAACCTAACATAGCATGTTTATTGTATCTGTTTATTTATTATATTTCAGTTGACAATGTATTATTAAAAAGACTTAAAGTTGTGTCCTTAGGTTATGCATAATAAATAATTTAAAATAAATAAATTGCCATAATGGCATCAACATCCTCCTTTAGGAAAGTCAACTCCACTAATTAAAGTCCACTCAATTGTATCATTTTATCTAATGTTTGTTTATGTTTGTGATTAGGGTGCAATCTTAATTTAACTTTTCAGCTCTGTTACCAAGTATATATTTGTAAACATCATTATTAAATTATTCAAATAAATATCTTGTAGTTTCAAAACTTTACACGTAACTAAATGGCAATCAACCCTGTTACCATCAACTCTGTTACATTTCGAAAGACAATTAAATATTAAAATGGAACTAAA